ACATCTTAAACAAAGAGCTCTCCAATCTGGCCGGCAACCTTGCTTTGAAGTGCGGCCGGTTTCTTGCTGCTGCCAACGCGGTGTTTATCACCACAAAACATATTGATTATAACTCCCATTTGGACAGAAATGCCGAACAGAAATTGGAAGAAATTCCTCAACAGCAATCCTCAACGCCGCTGAGTGATTGCAGAACGACCGCAGAGTAACGCTCAGCATTATTGTATTTGCACAGCATACAGACTTGTTCCAGAATGTCTACCGAACAATCCGAGAGCGCACCTGCCGTCACGGCACATTCTCAGGGCGAGACCCATACAGCACCTGCTGTCGATGCCACACAGCAAGCGACAACTCCGACTGCAACAACGACAACGCAGCGCGTAAAAAATCCCAGGCGTGTGGCCGCCGGAAGAATGGTTGCTGAAAGAACGCGGCTGGCCCGGTAACAACAGAAGAAAGCAGCAGAGGCTTATCTCGCGGAAAAAAGGCGAAAGCCGCCACAGCTGCTCCTGAGCCAGCCCCGACTACAGAAGGCGAAAGCCCAAAGTGCGGCGGAGAAAAAAAAATAGCAGCCTCAGCACCACCCAATGGCTTGCTGTTGGCAGCATACTCGTTTCACTGGTCGGGATTTATCACAAACGGGAAGAGCTCAAGGCCGCATTCGACAAAAAAACACCTGAGCCCCTGCGTGTTGAGCCAGAACTCGCTCACGCGACACAGCCAAAAGCTTTAAGAAAAATGATTTAAGCTTTCACCTGTAGTAGATAAACATGAAGAAAGTTGTTGACGTTCCCCAAATTCTTATCTCTTCAGCAGCAATTTTTGGTATCGGGCTGTTATGGTACGACTTCAACTTAAAGATTTTTCATACAGTCCGCGATCTTTTGCGTGCAACATTGTTTGAAAAAGATGAAGAAGGAAATAAAATCCGCGATATTTTGGCCGCCGCATACTTGTATGGCGAGGATGGCGAGGATGGCGAGGATGACGAGGATGAAGAAGAAAAGACAGATTAAATTTTGTTTTAAACTTTTGTTATTTCCTTATTATGAGCACTATGGCCAACAACGGAGGTCTCGTTAATACATTAATGGATGCTTTAATATCTCTTGCAAAATGTTACGATGGGGATCCAGAAAATGCAGAAAAAATTTGTCAAATTTTTCTTGATGACCCAGAAAACGTAAAAACCGCAAAAATTGTAGGAGAACTTTTTTTTTGGTAT